GAGTTTGCCCAGGTGGTGGACAAGAGGTTCGGCAAGGTGGATGAGCGCCTGGGACAGATGGAGGACAGGATGCGCGAGTTCGCGGCGCTGCGCCAGGAGATGGACGACCTCAGAGCGGAGATGGGGGTGGTCGCCACAGCGACCCCCAAGGCACTACCGTCTGCGACGGGGTGGTCCCGCTCTGTGGACACCACGATCTTGGCGATCACGGCGAGGGCCAACGTCCCGAAGAGTGCGGTGGCGGACGCGCTGCAGCAGCTGGTGGCCGACGCGGACCTGGCGACGGTCCAGCCTGAGGCCACACGCCTCGAGGGGGAGGAGATCGGCCGCCACTTCAAGCTGCGCTGCCTGGGAGCGACGGCGCTTGCCGAGCGCCGCTGCGGCAAGCTTCTGGAGCTCTTGCGCACTGGCCCATCATCGTGGCGCGAGTTCGCAGCGGTGCTCCCGAACGGCGGCAGAGTCCATCTCAATGTGGGCAAGGGCCGCAATCAATCCCAGATGTCGCACGAGATCCAGCTCAAGCGCCTTCGTGCTAAGCTGCAAGAGCACCTCACGGACCGTCTCTTCGTGGACAAGGACTCGTTCACCATTACGGTCAAGTGGAGGCAGCTGGTTCGCCTCTCCATCCCTGCGCCAGGCGCGCAGCCGCAAGTCTCGTGGAACTTGGTGGCGGTACGCTCGATCGGCCAGACGGAGCAGGCCCTGCAGATCATGGCAGACCGCGCGCTGGCCCCCGAGGCCCAGCAGTGGACTCTTTGACCCACTGGCACGCGCATGGGGTGGCCAGGGCGACGGTATCCACCTCGGCACCTGGAACTGCAGGGCTCTCACGCAGACGGGAAAGCACGGCATACGCATGGTTAAGAAGAAGTTCAAGTACCTCCAGCGCCATTGGCAGGGTCCAATGATATTGGGGCTACAAGAGACTCGCGCCTCCTCGGCCAGCATGGAAGTGCTTCTCGGGAGGCTGGGGAGCACGTTTCACTGCTTCACCTCGTGCATTGCAGGAGGCAGAGAAGACGCGGGAAGTGTAGCGACGGTAGTGCCTGGCACGAGTGATGGCTACACCTGCAATTTTGTTCCAGATGAGCTTGTCCCTGGGCGCATCGTACGACTTCACGGCGCTGTTCTCTCAGAGCACCCGGTGCCGAATGAGATCCCCGCCAGTTTTGTTCCTTGGATGTGCACAACCATGATATTTCCCCAGAGCAGCGGGAGCGAGTGGCAGCAAGTATTCGGCGTGATCTGGCATGGGTCCATGAAGCCCCTGAGTGCCGCACAGTGTTCATAGTTGGCGACTTCAACTTCGGCGACCACGACGAGGTGGACTCCTTCGTGCTGGACCAGCAGAATCCCATCCAGCAGGGGCTCGGAGCTGGACAGACTCACCTCACCCAGTCGCTGGCACCTTCGGGGTCGCAAGCGGCCCGTCTCGCACGGCATCCTGGCCAACGCCAGTGGCTTGACGCGATGAGAGGAGCCACTGAGCTGATGTCGGGCAAGCCAACCCATTGGAATGCGAGCACCAGAACCAGCACCACCCTTGACAAGATCTTCGTGGGACTCCCGCGCTGGGTTCTCTGCCAAGGCCGGCAGTCCTGCCAGGTACGCGGCGAAGCTAGAGAACTGCACATACGTGGGGTTAGCGATCACTCGCTAGCGGTGGCCTCGCTACTGAGACGCCCCCGCCCGCAGCGCGACCCCGACATGCCATCGGCCATCCCGCGGGACATCGTCGAGGGGCCCCGCTTCAAGGAGACCATGCAGAGCTACTTGGAGGTGGTGCCGCTGCAGCACCTGTCGCCCCCCGACGAATACAAGTTGCACACTGGGATCCTGCAGGCCGCCGCCAGAGACGTCCAACAGGAGCTCCTCGTGACGGGGGGCTGGTCCAAGGGGTCCTCGGCCATCATCTGGCGCCAGCTGGCTCGGGCCTACTGGAGACAGAACTGGCGCCTGGCTCAGCTGGTGCCCCCCAAAACGAATGGGCGCGAGACCTGATGCGGGTCGACGCGGAAGCCAAAGCAGCGCAGATCACCGACTACTCCGAGTTCCAACGGAGGTACAACATCGCGCAGAGGAAGGAGGCGGCCAGCATGAAGAGGAAGCTGGAGGAGGACACCCAGCAGGAGACCGACGAGAGCAGGAAGATGCAGCTGCGTGCCCAGCTTCGCGCTCTCCGCGGGAGGGCTCGTCTGTGGGCACCTGTCGGCGCACGCCGATACCTCGCAGCGCTGGAGGTGGATGGTGCCGAGCTTGTGGAGGCATCGGACATCCGCGACGCGCTGGGCAAGCACTGGGGCAAGGTGTTCTGCCCAGTGGAAGAGCTCCGCGAGTCCAACAGCGAGCGCGCGGCCAAGCCCCAGGATCGGTACTTCGAGCGTTTCGGCGTCCCGCGGGCGGACTGGGACGAGCTGCCTGCGCCGAGGCTGGCGGATGTCCGCCTGGCCCTGCGGCGAGCCAGACCCGCTGCGCCTGGGCCCGACGGGCTCCCTGCGGCGGCCTGGCTGGCACTGCCCTCTGGGCCCGCGGTGCTCTACCGCGCGCCGCAGTGGATGTTGGGCGGCATGTGCACGCGCGCGGACTACAGCCACGCGGCCGGCATCTTCCTGCCCAAGGGCTCGCTGCCTTCTGACCTGCAGGCGGCATCGCGTGCCCTTGGCAACGCGCGCCCGCTCCCCCCTCGCAACGCTGGCGCGAAGGCCATCAGCTCGGCAATGAATTGGCCAATCAGGAGAGCCGTGCAAAAAGTCACCGCACCTAGCCAGAGGGAATTCATTCGCGGCCGACATGTTGTAGAGAATCTGATTGAATTAGACAGCTTCGCGAGGATTGGTAGCATGCAGGCTTTAGATCATCCATCTCCTGAACGCTCCCGTCTTCTCCTTCTCGCGTTTGATTACGCCCGCGCGCTCCCCTCTGTCTCCCACTCGTGGATATGGAAGGTCTTGTCTACCTGGGGTGCTCCAGAGCCCTCGTTGCTGCGTTTCGCGCCAACTACAGTCGTGCGGCCACCCTCTGTGCTGACCCGTCTCGGGCATTCATGTTCTGGATTATGGCAGGAGTCTTGCAAGGGGACCCCCTGTCGGGAAGCCTCTTCGTCTTAGCGGTGCATCCCTTTTGCAGTGACCTAGAGCGCACTCTCGAGGCCGCTCAGAAGGGAATCGGGAGGTGGTGCGCGGACGACGTGGGGGCGGTGGTGTGGGGAGAGCCTGGCCTGAGAGTGCTCGCGCGAGTGTTTCGAATTTCCAAGCGTCTCGCCCGACTGGGGTTGAAACCCGCGAAGTGTGCTGCCACCCCGCTCTGGGCCCCGTGGTCTGAGGAGCTCTGTGGCCCCGCCTCTGAGCTTCTTGGAGCGGCGTGCCTTGAATGGCGGGTGTTTAAGGTTGAGGCGTCACTGGAATATCTGGGATGCACGGTCGGCCCTGCGGCCTCTCTCGAGCAGCAGTGGGCAGCCCCCACGGCCAAACTCGAAGCCAGAGTCAAAGATGTCGCCCGCTCGCATGCCGATGCCCACTCATCAGTGACCCTCTACCACGAGCGCGCTCTGAGTGTGCTATCGTACAGGTCTCAGTTGTTTCATCCTTGCATGCACCTTCGCAGGAGGGAGAAAGACATCCTCACGCGCGTCTTTCGTGCCCCTGGATCCTGGCTCTCCTCTGCCTGCTTCCTTGACCTCCCTTCCCTTGGCGGGCCCAGGGTCCAAGGCCTTCGAAGCAACGCACTGGCTGCTTTGATGAGGACTGGCATCCAATTCAGAGAGTGTTGCGCTCGCGTGTGCCAGCGCCTCGAGGATACAGCCTGGGAGCACCTGCGCGCGGGACAGCCTGCTGGAAGGGGCCCACGGGTGCCAAGGAGCTTTGTCCCTGGCCCTCTTTCTGGCGGGAGCCGGCGGTGGCGTGATCGTTGCGGGAGGCGGCGGAAGCTCGGGGCTTTCTGGGGCGCGACCGCGCGGCGGCCCTTGCTGGGCTGAGGTCCCTGGAAGCCGAGCGCAGGGCGGCACTAGAACGTTCAGCACCGCAGAGGTCTGAACGCTCTGTCCCCGAGCTGGCGGGCGCCCGTGGTGCTGTGGCAGGCCCTCGGTTTAAAGTGCAGCGTGCCCTTAATCGTGGTAGTCTCCCCGTCCTCTACTCGTCGTCGTCGTCCTTTCCCCCTCTCATTCGCAGACGACTCTTTAAATGGTTCGGGATTGCCCCCGAGTTTTCGCACACGTTCCCCTGGTCGGAGGTGCGAGGTGTCCTCGAGATGTCCCCCCCGTCTTGGCGCCTCGCGGCACTCCGCACTTGGACTGGGGGATGGGCCACGGACACCCGACTTCGAAATGACCATCGAGGCTGCCTGCTCGGCTGCAACTGCCGAGATAGCCTTTCACATTATATCCAATGCTTCTCCTTCCACTGGCTTGTCGCCATGGTCTCTGGTCCTTGCCTCGGTCCCCCGCCTGCTCCCAAGCCTGTCCCTGCCCGTCTTGCCCTCTCTCTCCGTGCACCCATCCCCATCTCAGAAGATTGGCGATATTCTTCCATCTGCATCGCCTCTTGCACGCGCGCAGCAGGCGAGCTACACAGTGCCCAGCGCCACAGGAGGCGTTTCAAATAGCCCAGGCCGCCCGCCTGGCCACGGACCTCGCTGCAGGGTCGTGGCGGCGGCGCGAGCGAGGGCACACGTAAGGAGAGACTTTCCCTCGGCGACGCTCCGCCTCCTCCTCCTCCTCCTCCTCCTCGTCCTCCTCCTCCTCCTCCTCCTGCTCCTCCTCCTCCTCCTCCTTCTCCTCCTCCTCCTCCTCCTCCTCCTCCTCCTCCTGCTCCTGAATCCTCCTCCTCCTCCTCTCTCCTCCTCCTCCTCCCTCCCGCCCTCCCTCCCTCCTCCCTCCCTCCTCCCCCTCCCTCCTCTCCCTCCCTCCCTTCCTCCCTCCCCTCCCCTCTCTCCCTCCCTCCCTTCCTTTCTCTCCCTCCCTCCCTCCCTCCATCCCTCCCATTCCTCCTCTCCCTCGCCGACAGGACGAGGAGATTCGAGAGCTGAAGGTGCGCGGAGCGGCAGGCGCTGACGCGAGCGCGGCGCACCAGCGCGACCTCCAGGAGCTCCAGGACAGGATCACAAGGCCCGGGGTGTTGAGTGGCCCGGGAAGACTCCGGAGGGCTCTCGGGGGGCCCAGGAGGAAGAACGGAGAAGGAAGGAGGAGGAGGAGGAGGAGGAGGAGGAGGAGGAGGAGGAGAACGAGGAGGAGGAGGAGGACGAGGAGGAGGATGACGAGGAGCAGCAGCGGTCAGAGGCGGAGGGGGGCACGGCCACCATCAAGCACGCCCGTCCGCTGAAGGCGAGGAGGGCCCGCTCGAGCCGCCCGCCCCGCCAGGCTGCAGGAGGAGCTCGCGGAGATGCAGAGGGGCGTGGACGACAGGGCCGCCCAGGACATGCAGAGGCGGGGTGCCTCGCCGCCGCCGCCGCCTGCTGCTGTTGTTCTCTCTCCTCCTCGTGTTGCCCCCACCTCTCCTCCTCCTCCTCCTCCTCCTCCCCTCCCTCCTCCTCCTCCACCTCCTCCTCCTCCTCCTCCTCCTCCTCCCTCCTCCTTATCCTCCGTATCCTCCTCCCACCCTTCTCCTCCCTCCTCCCCTCCTCACTCCTCCTCCCCTCCTCCACCCCACCGCCACTCCTCCTCCTCTCGCTCCTCCCTCCTCCTCCTCCATCCTCGCTCCTCGCTCCTCCTCCTCCACCTCCCTCCTCCTCCACCTCTCCTCCACCGCTCCTCCCCCGCTCCTTCCCCCCCCTCGTGCTCCTCCTCCTCCTCCTCCTCCTCCTCTCCTCCTCCTCCTCCTCCTCCTCCTCCTCACTCCCTCCTCCTCGCTCCTCCCTCCCTCCTCCTCCTCCTCCTCCTCCTCCTCCCCCTTGCCTCTCCCCCCCCTCCTCCTTCCTCCCCCTCCCCCTCCTCCTCCTCCTCCACCACCCCTCCTCCTACTCCATCCTCCTCCTCCTCCTCCTCCCCCCTCCTCCTCCCTCTCCTCCTCCCTCCTCTCCTCCCTCCCTCCTCCTCCTCCTCCCTCCTCCGCCTCCTCAGTCCTCGTCCTCCTCCTCCTCCTCCTCGTCCTCCTCCTCGTCCTCCTCCTCCTCGGTCCTCCTCCTCCCTCATCCGCCTCCTCCCCCCCTTCCTTCTCCTCCTCCTCCTCCTCCATCTGCCCTCCTCCTTCTCCTCCTCCACCACCTCCTCTTCATCATCATCATCATCATCATCATCCTTTTTCCCCTTCCTCCTCCTCCTCCTCCTCCTCCCCTCCTCCTCCTCCTCCTCCTCCTCCTCCTCCTCCTCCTCCTCCAGCCTCTCCTCCTCCTCCTCCTCCTCCCCTCCTCCTCCTCCTCCTCCTCCTCCTCCTCCTCCTCCTCCTCCTCCTCTACCTCCTCGTGCTGCTCCTTGTAAACATGGTTGCGCCCGACGGGGTGCTGCGCGGAATGGCCGTGCCCGCCACCGCCAATCAAGGCGCGCCCTTGCCCCCGCTCGAATCGGCAGCTGGCGTGGGCCGAGGTAGAGAGGATGGGATGACCTTCTCGTGCGCTCGTCTCCTTATGCTGCTCCTCCTCGCGTCACAGGTGTTGATACCGCTACCCTTGCCTCGCTTTCGCCTTTCCAGGCCTCCCGGGAGCCCTCGTCGCCGCGGCTGGATGGGAGCGCACCCCCGGGAGAGGTCCGCGGAGTAGCGGCGTCGGTATGTTGTGGTTTCCCCCGCGTGCCCTTCCTCGTCATCCTCTTGCTTGTCTTTCTCCTCTGGCGCGGGCGCGGCAGCGGTGGCCCGCGCGACGTTTGCCGCGGGCGCGGCAGCGGTGGCCCGCGCGGCGCGGGGTCCGATCCTGGCTGATCTGCTGCGGCCCGCCGCTGTTGCTGTGGTCGCCGCCGCCAATGCAGATGAGCTTGCCCCTCGCCCTCCTCCTCCTCCTCCTCCTCCTCCTCCTCGTCCTCCTCCTCCTCGCTTCTCCTCCTCCTCCTCCTCCTCCTCCTCGTCCTCCTCCTCCTCGTCCTCCTCCTCCTCGTCCTCCTCCTCCTCGCTCCTCCTCCTCCTCCTCCTCCTCCTCCTCCTCCTCCTCCTCCTCCTCCTCCTCCTCTCCTTCTCCTCGCTCCTCCTCCTCCTCCTCCTCCTCCTCCTCCTCCGCCTCCTTCTCCTCCTTCTCATCGCTCCTCGCTCCTCGCTCCTCCTCCGCCTCCTCCTCCTGCTCCTCGCTACTGCTTCCCTTGTTTCTCCCTTGCTCGTGCTTGCTCCTATGCCCTTGTCTTCACCCCTCGGGACCTCTGGCCACCGAGCAGCGAATATGCCGATCAGCGAAACAACGCTGCTAGCCGCGCTGCATCCATTTCTCCGGCG